CAAAGTTTTCATAAACGTTGCTCGTGGGCACGTTGAATGCGCGCGTCTCTCTCTCTTTCCTCTCTCTTTTCTCCTCTGGCCTCGCGAGAGAGCTCTTCTGCTTCCTCTCTCGCTCGCAGCATGCGGCAGACAACGGTTAATCAATGGGCTTCAAGCGCAGGCTCGCATCCCGGGATCTTTCCTGATGGACAGCGGCAACAGCAGCAACAACACGCGCCCACCCGTGGGAGGGTGAGGGAAAGGCGCGAGAGAGGGAAAGAGCGAAACAAAGGGGAGGAAAGAGGAGGGCGTATCGAGAATTAGATGAAGAGAGGAGGGATGAAACGAAGATAGAGGGAGAGCGAGAGTGGGCGAGAGCGCCGCGGGCGTGTAAAACTAGCGAACAATTTAAACTCCCCTTTCAAGTCGCGGCTTTGTTTATGCGGACGAAAATAATTCGTCCGTGTGTCCGTCTCTTCGTCCGACGTGGGCGCGAAAATAAACGCGGATATACATATTGCACGCGCGTGAATTCGCGTATGCATATAGCGAACGTTGCCCATATCTATATAATTGGGGAAACAGTTCTACAGGGAATCCGACGCAAAATTGAAACTTTGAAAGATTAACTTGGACGTTACACGAATTTATTTTTACTTGGTCACTCGAAAACCGTCCGATGAGTGTCCCATCCGTTGAGAATCGCGATCGGTCCACGGGATGATTTTGCGAAGCCAAAATGTTTAGTTATCAGAAAATTCCGTAGTTGAGCATTTTGAGTTCTCGTAAAACTTACGGCGTGCTTAATAGCACGGGCGAAAGACAGAAATAAACGCTATATCGGCGTCGCACATCGAATGCAACGCCGCAAAATGACGTTAACGTTGCGGCGAACAATCGGTAAGGAAGTCAGAACGGGGGAGAGGCTCTTCTCTCTACGAAATTAGTCTCGAATCGCGCGGCCTGTCGGTTTCACCGTCAAGTAAGAGAATTACTTTCGAACTCGCAGACCGATAAAACAGGCCCTCTCTCATTCGCCACCGCGCGACTCGATTCTACTCGACTCGCCTCGGCACGGCGGGACTTAAAAACTTTCCGCACTCTCTTACCCTCGTAAATGAGAGAGCCACCTGGACGCTCGGTTTTATGGTCCATTTGCATCCGGCTTTAAAAGTGCCGTCAAAAGAATCTTGCAATTAAAGGCACGGTCGTGGCGCATCTTCGGGAATATCGCCCGGCCGACGTTTTTCGGCAGCGTCAATTCGCGAAATTCCCGTCCGTCTCTCTCGTAGCCTGCGGGAAATAGCAGGAATCCCTCTCGATCTCGTGACGTTCGAAAATCGTTAACTCCGTCCGTTAAAACAATTGCCAATTAGCCGTTTTTCGATTATCGAAGCGTCGCGCTTGTGACGGCGGACAGCATATTAGTTTTGCGATGTTGAATACGGATCATATCGCTCTATCGATACGCCGAGTTTTTTCTCCGGCATGGAAAAGATTTCAAATCGGCATATAGCGCATTTCCAGACACGTCGAACGGACGTTAGAACGGAGCTCACCCGCAAAATTGGACGAATCACGGGGATGAAGGGTGGGAGAAATGAACGGACGGACGGACGGACGACATTGCACACACGTACTGCATTTGCACGAAATGAGGGTGAGAAGAAAAATGCAAGGAGAGGAACGGGAGAGGGGGCAAAACTTCCAGCGAGATTGGATCCCTGAAAGTAGTTCGTGCTGGCTCCACCTGATTACCAGTTTCGCTGATGGATTCTTAGACCCCTTTGGAGAGCTGCCCCTCACACTCGGTCCTCGTTATCGTTCTCTCGCTTTGCCGATCCGCGATTGTCCACCCTCCTCGAAAATCGCTCTAAGCGCTCCCCAATACCAGCCGATCGCGCTTTATGGTCGGTTCTCTTTTAATAAATCGATGATTTCGTACACCGGTGTACCTTCCACCGAAAGAGGTTGCACGTAATAGTGCACGAAACGCACAGAATCTATTGCATCTGCGAATTGCGTACAATGCAAGCACGGAATATCGGTATAGATTGAACTGAAAGCTTCCCGAAGTATAGAATAATATTTTTCGATCAACGTTTACGCGAGTGAATTTTCTATAACGTTGAAAAATATCGATCTAGGAAAACACTTGCGATAAGAAATATTGCGATATCTACAACAAGTTACGTTAGAAACCCAAAGGGTGTAATGATTGCGTAATTGCGAAGATGTTAGGTAGACGTGACGAACGTGAGCCACGCAATTCGAAACGAATCGTATCAACAATCGGTGGAGGGAAGGGAGAGAAAGGGAATGAAATTAAAACAGAAGCCGGAAACAAACCTCAAACCATTGCGTCGCACTAACTCAGCTTGCGGGAAAAAAAAATCTGATACGCTGGCAAAACCAATTATTTTGCGGAATGCAGCTTGCGGTTCATTTAACGCAACGTGGCTACCTGATATTTTATATAAAACTGTCCACCGGTGTGTGGAGGGTTGAATCAGTCGCGGTCGCAGTGACCGCACTGGTCACCGTCATTCCACCAACAATGTTCACGACTTTTTTAAATTCTCGTGTTACGCAAAAGGATATTCTCGGCATTGGTCACCATTGGTTCGACCGCATTGATCATCTATCGTATCGCATTACGCGGCAGATTCTTTTGTTATCGATCCCCCATTATGTCTAAATTAAAACGTGGATCAAACACGTGCAAGCGGTGATAATTATTGTCCCAGCGATAGCAATATTTAGGAGATCGTTTTGTCGATAGATTTCACAATTTTGCGTCAGTAATGAAATGAGATTAGACAAGTTTTTAAAATATCAATATTTTATTTGCTTTTTAAAGTACATTTCAATAGCACACAAACTCGAGCCTGGAAATACTAAGAATGGATCGACTGAATGTTGTACGAAGTTAATTATCGTCGGGTATTTTCTCCTTATTTTGCGGTTACCGATTGATTGACGCGATGCTTAAATTGATTAAACGTGAATCGTGACGCTTGATGCGCGATTACGGTAAAAGACAACTACCTATGATATATACTTATAATAAACGACGCCGCTGTCAATTAACGAACGAAAGTTTAATCGCGCTATGTATAAACCGCGAACGGAAGGAATATTACTTGAGATTTTCTTCCCTGTGGCGTATAATCGAATTAAGTGTGACTCTTCAGCTTAAATCCCGTCACTCGTTTAAAAAGTAATCTTTAGTTTCACTGAAGATTGTCTCCGTTAACCGTTCTTCATTAGCAAATTGGCCAGCAAAGGTCGGCATCCCTCATTAAGGATACACCGTGCCGTACCGAAAAGTTTTCGAACTAATTTACCGTAACTTCCTGTCGTGAAAGCTCTCTCTTTCTCCTTCCCTTATATTAAATAAAAATTTCAGTAATGGCATTCTTGTGCAGCATCCAATTTGCGAAGATTACATTCCCCGCCGGATACCGCCAGAGGATCGAAGGAGGTTAACTATCCATAAGCTCGGAGGGAGACACACTTCCCTTAATCTTTATTTCCGCGCATCTTTATTTCCGATTGCTGCAATCTCTTATCAGAATTTTGATCTCAAGCTCGTCGGATTACTGTTGTTTCGCGTCGATTCCAACACTCGTTTATGTATATATTAACACAAAATCGCCAACGATCAGCGTGTAATTGGCTTAGCACATCTACGTTTCTATCTCTATTATGTACAAGGCGCGAGAGACGTTTAGGTATAAAGGCACATGTTCATTCCTCTGCAAAAATCGCTTACAAACGTTACGGACGACGGACGTTGCACAAGATCGCAAAACGTGCGCGCTTCACTCACAGTTTTAACAAATAACTAATTAACACTACGAGCTCGAGCGTGTGCTCGAGAGAAGAAGAGCCTCGGAGTATGATTGTTAGTGTCGTACACGGAGAGAATTTTCTCTTAAAATTTACCCTGAAATCATGGTAGTTGTGGGACAACATTTACCACTAAGAATTTTATGCGAGCTATTCTGATTAATATCTAATACCATATTAAAAAATATTAATATCTATTACATTAAAATATAAAATATGTTTGATTAATTTTACTAAAATATATCTAGGAAATTTTTATAATTTTTCAAAATTTACCAATCTGCTTGGTAATTTTTATCACGTTGTTTGTAAAATATCTTTTGTATATATTAAAAATTCCTTGGTTGCCAAGTTGTCTCAAATTTGTAGTGAATTTAAGGGTAAAATATAAACAAAAAATTCTCTCCGTGTATGTACCGTTTTTTCTGCCCGACGAAAAGTCGCGGCCCGCGTAACTTGATTCAGGAGAGTTGCGACCGATTGTGCGCGATTGTGCTCATACTCGTTTGTTAACGTGACGAGAATTCGTCGCGCGATGCTCTCGCATTTCAGCGCTTTTTTTCCGCGCGGGCCGCAACAATATCGCGCATCTCGCACGACGCGCCATTACTAATTGCCGGCAAAAGCCTGCCGTTGTCATCGTGTGCGTGTTGCGTGGTACTTTACTCGGGCATCGCAATCGGCGGGCATGCACAATCGTATTATCGGCTATTGATTTCGGGAAGCATCGACTTGTGCGCTCGTAAATGCCGTCCACGCGCGAAACGCATTCGATTCCTTCCTTCAGCACAGCTCGCCGCGCAAAGCGAATAGCGTTGCGCATTATCGCGAAAATTCGATCGTTCTTCCGTTCGGATAATTACTCGGATTAAATGATCGTTTCCTTACACTCCTCTTAACATACGTATTATTAGTATCTTATTTGCATTCTTAAGAGTTTAAGCTGTTGGCCGAAACAGTAATATAAATTGCAATATCTTTTTAATTTATGAAGAGAGGAAAGAGACTCGCGTCTTTTTTATGTTATGTTGGGAATTATACTCGAAAAGTAATATAAAAATATAATTTATCTCTTCTCGCACGGTCACAGTTTATACTACTGTTTCGTCCAACAACTTGTAGAATAATGTTAACAAGCTAACAATATTCAAATAGTCTTTTGTGCGTTTTGCAATCGGTATTATTTTTACAATAACGCATTAACAATATTTTGGCGATACTGGACTATTTATGTAGGCGTTTTCTATTACTTTAGTGTTTGAAGACTCCCCTTCTCGACGGCGACCACAAGAAAACGATTAAACGCTGTTGAACTCCTCGCAGTAGGAACACTACTGATATTAATCCCCGTTTATAGATCGACAAATATAATTTAACGTACAAAACGTCGTCATCTGAAAATAAAAAGGAAACCGCAACATCCGTTAATCCATCAAATAGACTATAACGCAGTCGGAGCGTCCAACGGAGTCGTGTCCGGGTTTGATGATCGATCATGGAGCACTCGGTTGATTTTCCCGCAGGTGTGTCGGTGGCACGTATTGCCCGTATCGATGGCTACTTCCGCCGTAACGATCAACTTCCGAGGTTTCTTGTCCATCGACGAGGCGCTGGAAAGAGAAAGAGAGAGAGAAAAATGTCCGTCGATGAGAGACGTCTGTAAAGCGTCGATCGAAAGAAGAGAAGACGAAGGAAGACGACTCGACTCTCCCGTCAATTCAAGCGGGATCTCATCAACGATTAAGAACCGCATCGGGCGGAGAACGCTTTTCCGCGTCGGGCGGTTCCTTCCGTCAGAAGGGAAGGCTGATCGCAGACGGAAGTCGCGCTGCACCTCCGGTTCCTCTTTTATTGACGCAGCGGTGCTCATCACACTTCCTCTCATTCTCTCCCGTTCTAGAATGGCAGGGACGTTCTTCGCCTTCGGCGAGGATCGCTTCGATATTCATTGGGCAAAGATTTATCCACCGGTAATCTCCCCGGAACGCTCATCGCGCGATTCAGCGGCTCGAGTGCGCTATCGTCGACAGCGCGGGCCTCCCCCCGCGATACTCTCGCGACGACCTTTCGCAGAATCCACGATTGTCACGGATAATCGCGCCGTCGTGCTCTCCTCGCGATCGGCTATCGTCAGATGCCTCTCCAACGTCTCCTCGTTTCCTTTGAAAGTTCCGCAGTCGTGATAGGGCCCAGGCACGAATCCCACGCTCTGGCTTCTCTCGATCGATGTGACAGAATAGTTAAGTGACTGCGATTGCTTCCGCGTTCGGAGAAAGGTATGAAAATCCGAGTCCGTGAATTTTTTAAAGAAAGACCGAATCATTTTCTGCACGTATCTGGAGACTCGGCGAGATATTTTTTTAAGCGTCGCGGTAATCTCGCAACGTTTTTCTGCGATTTCCTGTATCGCGAGGGAAGTACTTTCCTTCTGAGACGACGGTGATTGCGTTTCCCCTCTTTCTCTCTCTCTCCTTCTCTTCGTTTCGAGACGAGTATCGCGTGCCGTCCGCCCGCCCGCTTCATTTCCTACGCACGAAGATATTCTCCAGAAGCTCCTTCGTGATCAGTCGGTGAGGTCTGGTCGGGCTCTCCGTGGGCGTACCGTAAAGTCGACTGTTGATGGCGTAGAGCTTCGGGCTAAGCTCGCACCTCACGTTGAACCACCAGTCGCAGACGAAGACCGCCTGGCTGAATTGCGTGCCGTTCGGACAGAGAAACGTTGCTTGTCGACCGTCTATGTCGCAATAATGCCACGCCTGGCATCTCGTCTCTACGTCGGCGAAGAAGCCGGGGTAGGACTGGTCATCACAGTAGAAATTCGTGTAAGGCACCTTTCCCAGCACCGGGTAATCCGTGCCTGGTCGACCTGCAATTGCAATAAGTGCCGTAAGTCCTTCTACATCTGACATGATCGATACGGATACTAACACAACAAAAGTATTTTAACAGCAAACTATTAAATACCTAGATAAAATTAATACTATATATATTTTATATTTTTTTCTAAATATTAATGAAGATATATTTGATGAATCGAAATAATAATTAATATTTTAACTATGCGGTTTTCGATGTTCAAATGCGTTTCATCGTCCTCCCCTAATATCGCATTCGATCGTATATTCGAGACCCTAAATAATTCACGGATTATTCCGATTGCAATTTCACCGCTCACGGATTCTCTTTGCGTGAAGCTCGCGAGTGCACATAAAGCGCCGGACGATTTGGATGAGTTAGCTACTTAAATGAACGGACGCGGAGGGGTTAAACGACTCGATGCAACCACGGTTCTTTGCCTTTTCTCTATTTCCATTTCCATCTCTCCGTTTGCGGCCGCAGCCATTCGAATCTCATTGGAAAATCGCAGCCTCGCATAGCTTCCTCGAACAATGGTGCGATTGTGTAATCGGAAACTAAGAGCAGATCGAGTATTTTGCTTAGATGAATTGAAAGCCAAGAGAAAGGAGAAATTAGAGATAAAAATACATGCATATATAGGTATTTTAGATGTCTAATAATTTTATGCTTATGTTGAAAGATTGCTTGAAATAATTTTTGTGTGTATAAACGTAATTTTATGTATTATGCTTTACGATTGCCGCAAAGGTAACAAATTCGGTCTTTCTAATTTTCTTGAAATTCTGATGTGACATATTCGGAACTTTTCCCGAAATATCTTCAATTTAATATCGGCAAACATAAGCAGATGATCCTAGCGTCGCGGAGAGGGCGGTATCGCGATCAAAGGAGGTGAAAACAAAGGGTAGACAACTCGAAGCTGTTCGCGTCATGGTTGGAAGAGATTCGGAAGCGCCATTAAAATAGCCCGAGAAAGCGCCCTCGAGGTCCTCCACCCACATCCTTACCGCCACTTTTCTATCCTCATCTCTGCTGTCTCTTCCCCGTCGGTCGAGGCTCGGCGGAAAACGAAATAATTAGACCGTCACGGTGTATGGGCACACCTTCGAAAGGGGTGAATAGCTCGAGAACGAGAATACGTTCGACGTGGTATTGTCGTAGATTCTACCGAAGTTATAATTACGCGGACCCAAACCACGGACCGGGATGAGGATGAGAGAGAAGGAGAGAGAAGGAGAGAGAAAGAGGAGGGGAAGAGGGAGGAAGAGAAAGGACAGAGGAGGGTAGTTTAGCGAGCGAAAGCGAGACGGCGAGCGTTTATTCCATACGGGTACGCAGAATCTCTTCCGCTGACAAAACAGGATCGGACAAGCGACGCAAGGTGTGAATTTCGTATGGATGTCGGTGAGACACGGTCGGGTTTATGCGACCGCGTCGGTAGGTGCACGTTCTGTATACGTTCCCGGGGTGTTGCGCGCGTACAGACCGGTCCATTT